GCCTCTTACGAAATCATCCATCGCACTACGTGTCACCTGAGTCATTGTCCCTGTTTACTTTAATCATTTTTGGGATGAGTCCAAAATGGGAGTGTGGTTGGAAGGAATTCAATTTATTTGCACGTATAGGAAATTCCAGCCCTTACATCCTCAATTGTGTCACCAAAATCGATTAACTTTCTACCATGGCATAGAGATAACTTCAGTGTTTTAGAGGATTGCTACACTAGTAAGTCTTGAATTATACTCAGTAATTTCAATAGCAAGTTCCTCTAGTTTGGAATGGATCTAGGAGTTAGCTAAGCTCCCTCGAAGACATTTGGCATGGAACAAGTTTATTTGAGCCGTTATGCCTGTCACAGAGCTTAGTCAATATAAGACAATGAAGGGCTACTATTGATTTGTGGCTGACTGAGAGACCTCTGTGCTCACCATTTCACTTGCTCCCTACGCAACATGTAGCAAGGCCGTGCTTTCAGGTCTGTCTGAATGGACGTAAGATGCCTTTGCTCATTCTCGACAGCTATCTTACTGATTAATTGGGTTAACCCATTAATTCCATGCTCCACCGTTTATGTAAACAGGGAACCAATACAGAAGCTCCATTCAGCTGCAAACACTACCTTTTTCGGGCCTGCGTATGGTAGTCATTGTCGATGACGTCTTGAACATGGAGATTCTAGATTTGAAAGGCACTCCGCGGGTTTAAGTGAATTAGTAAGAGTCCTGAAGTCTGAAGATACTGACTTTTCAAATGCAACTCATCTGGAAGCTAAGAATGGGAGGATATGATTGGTGCTTTGTTCACGCAAACACGAAGATTAAATGTTTCATAACAGTTTTACCGGACTCCGTCTAATAGGCGAAAAGTGTGTAGGCTTGATTCCAAATCCCTGGCCTCTACCTATAGCTTGAATGAATTCACGACGCTGACATTTACTTACCTTACGTGTACATCTCCTCTTTAGTGAATCTCTCTGGCCAATTGAAGCAAGGAATGCCGCAATCGCAAACAGCTACTTCACAGTTGCAATCAATCGCGTGGGAACAGTAGGTCCACAAATTTGAACCCTTTTCAAAGTTGGTCTTTGTCTTTATTTAATTGATTTCAATGTTTGGGCAATAAGCATATAAATATATTTCCTTAATAATAAATAAGACATTAATAAAATAAATAGTCAAAATAGTCAAAATGATCAGATATAGGATTAATTAATTGATTTAAGTTATTATTATTTTTATTGCTTTTTGTTTTTTTCTATTTAGGAAGAGTTCCCGAACGAATTCACTAGCGGTGATGGCAAACCAGCTCACAAGGCTTTCGGCCATTTCTTTGGATCTTCTTATGTCACTGGTCCTGACGGAGTTCGAACTCCAGTAAGTTGAATTTAATTGTTTACTAAAATAATTTTACATGGAGCAGATTTTTTATCTGTCCTTCGTGCATTGGTAAACATATTTGGAAAATTTAATTCGGTTCCTTGCCGATGACGAATATTTATTTTTACCAATGTAGATAATTCTAAGCTAAATGGAATATAAATCAATGTCTTTTAGGGTCTCGATCGTGTTTCCGACGGTCTTCTTGTGGCTGAAGTTGATCTAAATCTCTGCAGACAAGTTCGTGATCACTGGGGATTCAGAGTAAGTTTACAAAACTTCCCAATATCGATTCCCCCTTGTGCGTTTAATACCATCCCATATCGATCGATCCATTTATATTTGCCTTTCAGTTGACACAAAGAATTGACCTTTACGCCAAGAGCTTCACAAGATATGCTCGCAATGCCGGTTATGATCTCAAGGAGTAGAGTCCGCATTTTCAATTCACTTTCGCCAATAAATCGGTGCTCCATTCTTATTGTACTCGAATAGTAATTAGCAAATAAATAGGAGTATGCTAAACAAATCTGCAACGGTTGTTTGAAGGATTTTAACAGTTGAGCAGAATTTTGCGAATTGAAATATCACCGCGTTATTGCCACTATTAGAAAGACAAAGCCCTTCAACCCCCCCCCCCTTATTTCTGCTCATTACCGGGAAATTTTCCAGTATGCCACATCAAAATGTGACCTCTAAAATCGAAGAAAGTTGCATGCATTTGACCAAATTCATTAATTAAACTGCCTTTCAGCTTCTCTGATCCTTTAACAAGCTTACTTCGGCTTCAGATACTGATTCGTTTCGTCATTGAATGTCATCACCTGAAGGAAAGTTTACAAACCAATAGAGATCCGCATTCGAATTGTAACTGATCCAATAATGAAACTCCACACGAATTACAGATGGTTGAAACATATGCAATGATTTGCGGGTAAACATTAGTGACAATTACTTAATTTAAGTAGAAAGGTAAATCCGCACCTATGTGGCTATAAACTGTCAAATATATGGATGGAATCTCAGGGGAGGTAATCTGTTACTCACCAACGAATGTCGATTATAAGTAATGGAATAATCGGTTTAGTTGTTAGTCAGTAATAAATCAATGAGCATGCTTCACACTCAGCTACGTGCCCAACTGAATAGTAATTTAAAAGTCCGGTTGCCAAGATCTTGAGGTCAACACTAGTAGAGTGAATTCAATGATCAGTCCCACGAGGTTTGCGGCACTAGAGGTTCCCATTGGCGGGAGGGGAGGTCCCAACTATATACCCCCTCACCTCCCCCCCCCTCTCCACACCTATTCGAAGATGGGTATTGGCAAGAGTTTTCATAATACCGCTCTCGATGTGTACCTTTTATTCCCATGCACAGTTTTTTGACGATCGATTTCACGCAAACTCGGTGTGAATTTAATTGGTATTTTTATTTCAGTCACACCTCTAAAAGCCAAAATTAGCAGTAGAACGTTAGCAACAAATTTGCCACAGATTGAGGATTGAACCCTGGTATTGATTAACAAGGTTTTTTATTAACAGAATTTTGAATTAATGGAACAATTTATTTCAAAATATGAACGAAAATGACCTAGTATTTAATATAGCGTTGATTGTCACACACTTTTCAATTGTCCCACCGACATGGAATTAATTCCATGCAATAACGGTCCTACTGTATATCTTTGAGACAAAAGAATTTCTTCCAATAGCTGAAAAATCAATAATTATAAGGAGTTGAATGGATCACGGGAATAATTCTGACGGTGTTACTTACCCGCTTGCTTTATTTACGAAATATGATATGCACGTATTTTTAACTTGTAGTTTATTTATTTGTTTCAAATGGCAGGCGTTTTGAAAGTTATCATTTGCCATTTAGCTGACTTCGAGGGGTGGGGAATAGAAGAGCGATTCACAGATGTAAAAGAGGCAGACAGACACAAAGGTAGAGAAAAAGGTAAGGTGAGTACAGTAGTTTGAAGTCAGAAGTCAACTGCCAGTTAATAGACTTTTTTGCCGTATGAGTATACGTTGCCCAGGGTGCACCACGTGGAGATAAGTCTATCGCACACCCTTTTGAACTTGTAGTAAATTAAGTTAAATTACCAGTGCATTCATGCACGTCATTAGCTGCTAAAGGCCTCTGTTTGCAAATTACTTTAGTACTCCAAAATTTCCATTTAGGCAACCGTGATTTCAGTTCCGGTTGGAGGGTGGGGGGAGATGTGACAGAGCTCAGCAACTCCAAGAAACTTTATTAATTCAATCAGATGGTCTTCGAAACACCACTGGATTGACGCAAATTTTGGGTGAAAATTAGTTGTCATGCCGCCAGGAGCGACGTGCTAATAAGAGAGTAAGAGAGAGAATTCCTTGAGAACTTAATTAAGGAGAATTGATTTGATCATCTTTTATTTTACTTAACATGTCAATAAAATATACTAAAAACCTATATTTTCAACGGATATTGGATCACGGTAAAAATTTCCACCAATTTTTTGGCAAATATTTACTTTATCACCAAACCTTTATTTCCTTAATTCTTTTACCTGAGTTATTAAAAGTCTGTGTTCCATTGGAAAGTGTGATAAACTGCAACCATGCTTTCAGGCTTTGCATTTATTACTGATACGAGAGTGAACGGCGTTTAAAAATTTGGCTGTAATTTGAAGTATTCACTAAGTGGAAATTAATACAAAGCAAGGTGGACGTCCAGCGTGGTTTTAATAGACAGAAAAGCGGTTTTTATTCCTTAGTCAATAAATCCTATCTCAAGGGAATTTACACGAATTCAGTAAAACTTAAACGTATCAATTAATGGAAATATTCATAGAAAGGCACCAGTGATCATTTATGTCAAATGGCAGGTTTTATGATGGTCATCATTAACCCCGTAAATTGACTTCGGGCCTCACAGATAGAAGGAACGTCAAAGTGGGAAAAAAGCCGAGGGGGAGTGGCGGGGAACAGAAGAGTGATTTACAGATGTAAAAGAGGGACACACAAAGAAAGGTAAAAAAGGAAGGTGATGTGAGTACTGTGAAAGTGGTGGAATATGACATACAGTGGGGTCATGGTAGTTTGAAGTCAAAAGTCAACTGCCGGTTAATAGACTCTTTTGCCGTATGAGTATTCGTTGCCCAGGATGCACCACGTGGAGGTAAGTCTATCCCACAACCCCACACTCGCGATCATAAAATGACCCAAATGAATTTTCGGATCCCGTAAGTCTTACTAACAAAAGCATTTGTCGATAAATGTACACGAAGAATACCAACTCCAGCGTTCAATGTGCTTGCTTTTTAAGTATGAATACCGGGACATAATCTTTGAACTGAGATGAGTATGAACCTATTAATATTCCCTAAATATAGTGCCCAAAGTGGCCTTAAATTCAGTGCAAAATGCAGACAGTACTACTTTACAAATCAATGCACCAGTTTACTTAATATTTACTGGTTCTTATAAATTAAAATGACAAAACTTCATCATAGACTCCTTTACAAGCAAAGTTTCTTCTCTTACAGCAATCCTAAGTTTAAATTATCTACCACATTAAATTAATTTACTTCAGGTATCGATTTTCAATTTCATTTAACTGGCTAAAATGCGGAATCTCTTAACATTTTCAGTGCTATTTGCTCTGAACTTAGCACAGGCATTTGCATGGAATCCTCATGAGATATTTAGGGGCGTGCAACAACTTTCCAACCACACGACCTACACTCATCGACTTCTGATAAATCAACCGGCGTACATTCCTTGTTTTAAGTCTACAGATTCCCTCGGCAATCAATCTTCTACTATTTACTGGAGTCATAGAGGATTTAGATTGGACAGAGATAGTTCATTTATCTCAGCTCTTTGGGATCTCAATGGGACACTTATGATTTACCATGTTCTCCCAAGAAAAATTTACCTCTGGTGTCACTACCAGACCGATTCAGTATCTAAGATCTTTATCCACCACCTCGAATTCGTCTCATCACCTTTCGTTCAAGTTATCTATGCTGTAGAAATGAACGCCAACTTCACAGCTGAGACTGAAAAAATACTTGATGATTTTTATGTTCGGCAAATGAAAAATTGTATCATCCAATCAGATGAAAGTGGAATAGTTGTACTGGAGGGAATTTACGGAATCGAGTTTGAGAAGGATGCCGTTCAAAAGACGGCGGTCCTCGAAGCCATTCGAAGGACCTGTGAAACCCAACTCGATTGTACGGGTGTCAGTTTGGATTTCTTTAGTTGTTACATTAACTCTGGTCCCGGAACAGCTTTCTACTCAATTGATTTCAGTACCACGCATAATGTGGAAATGGGTATATTTATTGAAACAAATTTTACAGACTTCTTTGAGCAAATTAATCAGGTACGATTTAATTCTATTGTTGAGCAATTACTTTAGACGGTAACAGAAATAGAGAAGGAGATAGAATTTTCTAAGGGAAGGATATTATCCTCAGGTTTCGAAAACATTCCCAGAACTTCGATTGACCTTAACATAAATATTAAACACAGAATGGTTAAGATATGTCTCGGTGTGGCAGGCAGACTAAATATCGAAGGAAAATTGGAATGTGGTTAGTAATTTTAGTTTGACAACTTGTACAATATTTTTTTAACCTTGACTTTCCTTAAGTGGTACTGATGAACTCTTTCACAAAAAGGAGACCTCCTGTTTCCGCTAATATTGCTAATCGATATAATGTCTTAATCTTATAGAGTTCTGATGTATTTTTTTAAATTTTTTGATTAATTAGTTGGCCATCTTATTTATTTATTTATTTCAAATGGCAGGCATTTTGATAGTTATCATTAGTCCTTTAGTTGACTTCGGGACAGAGAAAAGGCTAGATGAGTACTGTGGAAGGGGTCGAATATGGCATACAGTGGGGTGATGGTAGTTTGAAGTCAGAGGTCAACTGCCAGTTAATAGACTTTTTTGCCGTGTGAGTATACGTTGCCCAGGGTGGGTTTAGCCATCTTTATTGTTTGAACTTTCTTTCACACATTATTGCCATTCCTGAGCGTACAATTTCAGATGACGAATATGTCCCAAGTGGGATCTACACTTATCTTT